TGATCTGCGTGGGGCGTTTATTCAAAGTCTGTTAAGTATTCCATCATTTCTAAAATATTTCTTCACCATGCAGACCCCAGTGAAGCTGGCCTCTTTGTTTTGCCTCATTTTGCAGAGGGGGGGGGAAGCAGATCACAGTGGAGATGTGTGACTTGCCCAAGGTCACAGAGGGAGTTGGCAGCACAGCGGGGATGCTGAACTAGGACCTACAGCGTGGACTGCTTGCAGCCAAGCCTTCTGCATCTCTGCTGCCTGCTCCAGTTGTTGTAGCTGATCAAAGAATGGATGGGAAAAAATCAGATTTGGGTCTTCTTTTTTTCATCCAGAAGAAAGACAATTATTCTTCTCAAGGACTCCTTGCAGCTGCTTTGACAGTCCCTTCCCAAAGGACTTTCTGGATGTCTTTTGCCTGTTTGTTCAGTTATGTTCTGTGTGAAGGGGAGGAGAGGGACTGGATAGATCCAGAGCAGTCCAGGCTAAGACTGAATATTTCATTCTCAGGGGACAGTAATCTGAGCTGTCCCTAAGCAAGGTGGAGATGACCTTCCTCTCAGCGTTGGCCTGGTTGAAGCAGCCATGGAGATTCTTCACAGTTCCCTACCTTGTCCATTTCCACATACTTATGCCTGCAGGAGAAAAGGGGATAAAGAAGTCTCAAAAAAGGTTGCTACTTCTGCATGCTGCTGGCCATGGCTTGGGGCAGCCAGAGGTCACTGTTCACACTCTTGTTCACCTCCATCCCTACAGGAATCCATTTCAAAGCACTCCTGCTTTGTGAACATCTAAGAAGCAGTATTCCTAGTGCATAGCTACAAAGGTGAGCCAAAGAAAAGTTTCTTGAGTAAGGATATGGCATACACCATATCCCTGTCATGGATATCAATTCTGGTGTAAAGAAAGAAAGAGAATTAGGAAAACAGTAAGAAAAAAAACCCCAACATTGCATTGAATTTGCAAATTATATGGTGGGGCTAGGTCCAAATCCAAACCACTGTGCTCTAATGTTTTTAGAGCTGACCTCACAAACTGAGTGACTGCGGTAAGGATGCAAGAGAGCCTATTTCCTCATTTTCACAGTACGAAAAGTGCTCTGGGAGATCACAGAGCAGGAATATAGAGAGCTAGAATCCCTTTCAGGGAGCAAATTCCTTTTGTGAAATTGGTGCTCAATTTAGCTGTCACTGCTGAAAGGGAAAAAGATGCAGAAGCAACTTTTAAGTCCACCAGCCACATCCCTTTAAGCGATCCATGCTGTGCCAACCAGTTTTATAAAACTCTGTATTTCATCTGAACTCCATTTAAGTCTAAACAATATGAATGTCTTGCTACTGTATTTCCCTTCTCACTGCTGATAATTGCCAAGTTATTTCTGCTATAAACAAAGCAGCGTTCTCCTCTCTCTCTGCTTAATCATACCTGGTCCCAAAGCAGAAAGTTGTTAAAGATGTTTACTTTTAAACAGAGAAATACACTGCACCAAAGTCCACAAGACTGTTTTGATACTTAAGTGCTTTCCTGGATCAGGATGTCAGGATCTTATAATGCAGTGTTTACAGCTAATTCCGAACTGACCAAACAGTGACCCCCAAAAATTTGTATATTTGGTGTTTCTAAGCAGTAGACTAAGAAAAGTAGGGATGGAAACAACCAAGTAAGGAATGGTCATAATTTCCCTTTGAATCCCCTTTAGTATAATGGAGTCCTGGCTTGTTTGCACAGCATGGAGCTGCATCCCCCGCTGTGCCTCTGCTTCCACCAGTGGCTGGGAGCAGTTGCAGGGGGATGCAGTGCAAGGAAGCCAAAACATCGCAGGAGTGCTGCACCTCTAAGGGCAACTCTTAGCTCAAACCATTCCCTCGGGTGCTTATGTCTTCAGGTCTGTTCTCAAGATAAGAGCAGTGCATGCTAATCTGAGGGGAAAGTGCTGGTCCACTGTATCTTATTTATTAACATTTACAGCCATCAGCACAATTCCACAGACAATCTAATCTCAAGCAGTTTTTGAAATTCAGTGCTTTTTAGAGCAGTGCTTCCCATCAGAAACAGAACAGTGCATTCTGATCTGTAGAAAGGATTTGTCTTCCCTTAAAAATAAATAAATAAATAAATAAATAAATAAAAAGAGGCTCCTTCTTTTCTCAACATAGAGTTTATATTGTTATTAAATGAAATGCGTTATCATATTTTAGCATTTTAAGCTGTCTTTTACAGGATTTCTAAAACTGCTCCTCATTAATCTCCTGCAATCCATTTGTCAGATATCTCAAAGCTATTTGATAGCACAGTTACTTCAAGGTATGATAGAGTTTTCCTTAGCAACAGGTTGTAATTTCAACCAGGCTGGTAAATGTGAGGTCAGAAGCTGGTTGTCACAAATCTAGGTTAAGATATACTGCACATTCTTCCTTCCTGTTGAAATACCATCCTGAATCTTGGAGGAGTGAAAGTAAATACTGGGGTTACTTGAGGACAGCTTTTGTCCACTTGAAATGGCTTGTTTAATTAAGCATATTTTGTGTTTATTACAGAGGTATTTATCTTTGGCCAAACTGGCATCAAAACCTACCTTCACGTGGTGCTGGCCTTCAGATGCAGATTCAGTTTCGAGTCCTTTCCTCGGCCAGTATCTGTTACTTCTCCACGGCTCCAGGTCACAGGGAATGGAGCTGCTGTGGCAGTGATGCTGCCTGATGAGGGAGGGAGATTCTAGCAGCCCCCCTGACCTGGGCAGGCACATGGAAATCTTCCTTCTGGAGGCCAAACCTGGAACAGTGGGCACATAGGCTGGATGGCTACCAAAGATCTCAGCTTCAGTAAGTGCTTGTCTTGGGCCAGGTCAGCACAATCCCAAATAATGGGGGTGTTTTGTTAAGTCTCAGACTTCATCTACTTGGCTATGGCAGTGACAGAAGGTGGAAGGTCATGGCTGTGGCAAGCGGTTTTCAGCTCTGTGAATAGTGAGGTGAGCACATAGAGGAGATACTTGGCCAGCCAGTGCTTAAAGTTCTTCATTTCCTTTGAAGGTGGCATGGTGGAAAGTTTGCTGTTTTATATACATCACTGATGATAGAGCAGGAATCATGTTGATTCCAGCTTTATTTATAGGATGCTGTGTAAGAGTGATGGGGACATGTTTTCAGGCACCACCCAACTTCGTATTTTCTGTCCCTTACATATTTATTTTCCTATTGGACTATTTCATGCTCATCTGTTGTTTTATAACAAAATGATCCTTTGCCCAGCTCTCTGCACATTGCCTCTGGGAAGACAAGACACATCAGGAAGCCAAAAGTTCAGTGGACATCACTGTGTTAGAAATAGGTTTCTGTCCTCACATGCTGTGTCACGGGGGTGGATGAGCTTGCTCTGCACCTGCTGGTGTACCATGGACTTGGACTGACTGAATGGAGCAGAGATCAAGCAGAATTCATCTATAACTTGGGATAGGATGAATTATTGTAAATAACTGAGCTGAGCCATTAGAAATAAGTTGCTAATGTAAGCAAGATTAGCTTGATGTGCTGCCTGCAATGAGATATTAGAGATGATAGTGAGAGAGAAAACTTTTCATTTAGACGGAAACAGGACTGATTAATTAAGCAGTAACGAACAAGGAACCTTGCCTTGAATTGATATGAGGCTTGCAGTGCTAATTTAACACAAAGTACAGCTCCCAATTTGTTATTAAATTAAAATGGCTTTTAAAATTGTTTACAATTTTTTTCCTTATCTCCTTCTGTGTGGCAAAATGATTATTCTGGCTAGTTAAAGAAACCAATCAGAGCAACAGAAAGGGTAGATTGGAGGGGGGAAAGATTGTCCTGTTGTGTAATTAAGAAATATACACTAATATCCATGACATCATGAATAAGCACTTCAAAGTAGCAAGTGTGCTCTGTATTGCATATTAAACTAAACAATTAGCATGCTAAACAGCTGCTCTGGACATATAAGGAAAAGGCATTTCACTTAAGGAAATGACTGATTTTTGCTTTTATTTTTGTTAAAATATCTGCTCATCTTACTGACATGTATTGATAAGGGATAAAGAAGGAATGTTTCTTCTTCTTCTGTCTTTCCTCTTTCTTGCAATTTTCAGAATAGTTTTAATTTGTTAAGCTTTGTAGTTACCCTGTACAAGAAACTTTCACGACCCCTCCCTGGGAAGGCGTGTGATGGAAACGCAAAACATTGTGTGCGATAGACAGATCCAATGGAACAACGGGGAAAATAACCTTTTAGTGACATTGCTTTCACAAACAAGTTTTACTCTGACAAGAATGATTTTATGTAATTTATCATAGGATAGCTCAACAGTAGCAATTTGTCATGCATTGTGATGTCATTTGATGGGTTCATTTCTTAAATGAATTATGGATTATGGATTACCTCTGTATATCAACAACAGAGCTGTATTTTTTATGTAAATATTCCCTCAACTTCTTCTTCCTCTTCCAATCCATTTTCCGTCATACAGAGATGACTTTTCTTCCATCTAATCTTTCTACTAATAAGGTGTTTAATAATTTAGCAGCCTAAAAAATGAGCATATTTCAAAGGAGTTGGTATCAATGGTAGTGCAAGAGCCTCAGGCTACAAAAATGTGGATGAGGCTACCAAAGTTTTGGAGTCAGGATCCCAACTGTCTTTCTGCTTCAGGCAGCTATTTTATTAAAGTTGGTATTAAACAACACTGCCTAGGGTCTGATTAACAATTTATGACATCCGAAGAAGGATTAGCACAAGCCTATCATTTTTATATTTAAATCTTAATTTGCATCTAAGAGACACCATACTCAGGTTTACATTTTCATTGTTGATTATTTTTATTATTACTATTGCTGCTTCAGAAAAATTGCTTATGCGAACATTGCTGGCACCAGTTTGTTGTATTGATCTCTGAGTACTTTGTCCCTTTGTATGTGTCAGAGGAAAAGCTGGCCCCTTGTATCCTGTGATGGGTCTGATCCTGCAAAATGATGGATATTGTCTCTCGCTGTGCTCAGTTGCTTTTCAGTGCCCCTGAAGTCCATTGGGATGGATTGGAATCAGCACTTGGCAGAGTCAGGCCGAGATCTGCAAACGTAGGAGCTAAATGTTGTCCAGCTAATGTTATTTTAGAGGGTGAAATCCAGATATACATGCCAGAGGCTTGCTTTCCCAGAGAAGAATTTCTTTCTTGACATTTACTCCGTGCAACTAATCACATCTGTCTCAGTGATATTTTTCAATGAGCCTCCCTGTCCTGCTTATTAGGTTATTGCTGGGCACCCCCTGCTAGGAGGGATGACAGAAGGTGATCCTGATGCTATATGCTGGGAAGCTCTATGCTGCTTTTTGCTAGTATGCTAGCAGGTAGAAGGAGAGGTGAGTAGATACTGTTAACATTGCTGGCCAAACTTTGCTCACTTGCATTAGTACAAAAGCAAGACAAACACATACACCTTAGTGGAGAAGAGTAGAACTTATTCAGCTGCAGACAAGGCTACTTTCAAATAGAAAATAACAACAATGATATGTTCTGTTATCTTTCTATTTTCAAATTGACCTAATGTTCCCTTTGACTTTCTCTTCTCCAAGTTCAGCTGCTTCAGGAAATTGTATGGCATATCTTTTGTTGTTTTTTTTTTTCCCCTCTCTGTTTATTTCCATTTCCAGTACTTTTTCAGTGGACTTAACACTCATTTCATCAAGGCTTGGATGGGGTGGTTATAGCCTGGGGAGCTAAGGGAAAAGACTGTCATCTAGGGGTTGTGAGCTCCACTGGTTCACAGCAAGGAAGATGGGATTTTTGTCCTCTTGAGCTTCCCTCATCAGTAAGACATTACAAGCCTGAAAAGAAATACTGATATTTAAGCATTTTCATTTCTTTATCTGAACTCTCAACATCTCCCTGGCTTTTCTTCTAATCAGTAGCTTACTTTTTGTCTTGGACTCAAGGGATTTAAGTTTTAATACTAGAGCCATCATCTGAGAACTGCTGGTTCTTCAAAGCAAAAAATGATCAACACAGAGGAAGATTTCTCAGATGCATGACTTTTCAGGACATTACATACTAAATTTCAGTTGTAGGGCTGTATTCATATTTCAAGCAACTGCTGTTAGAAGAACTCTGAGTACTTCAATCATAATGTTTTTTCATGGCACTCAACATTTGGTGTGTGCTTGTGGGCCATTACTGTCAGTGGGATTTAAGCAAAAGCTCAAAAGATTGTGCTGAATCAGGGACTAAGCAGTATCTGTGAGGAATAAGTCCCTTAGATTCAGGATTAGCAACACTCAAGGTTTCTATCTTATTCTTCAGTACTGGTTGAGATTTTAGCTAGTCAAATTCTCAGTCAAAAGAGGAAAACAAATCTTATTCGTTTGACTTCCAGTGAGCTGTTATGATAAGCACGAGCTGAAAAACTGGTCCAAGAAATCAGAAGAAAATGCTTAAATACATTATCAACAGCAGACATGCCCAGGAACTGAAAGCAGTCAGCCTGCCTCCTCTCTCCCACTAAAAAATCTCAGCCATACAGCCCAAGAACAGAAGCAATGTCGTGGGACTTCTGTGGCCAATGACACAACAGCGTGAGCAAATAGTTTATACTTAATCTGTGGGATTAATTATTTATCCAAACTATTTTACAACAACATATTATTATTTATTGGTTTTACATTAGCACCCACAGGTCCTAATTGCATAAAGCAATGCTCTAACCTAATAGAGTCCCAGCTGGAAAAAATATGTTCAGAGAAATCAGTCTCAAGTGTAAGACTACTTGACCAAAATATGGCTAACTCTATAGCAAATCATACTAGAACAGAGTGGCTAAGCTCTACCCTGTAATAGATATATAAATTAAACACATCAAATATGCATTCCTTCAATTAAAGCATACTTATTAAAAAATAGATGAATGTCTAGTATATTATGATTCAGTCTGTAATAACTAGAATGATTTTTAAAGTCTTCTGTGTACAGAATTTTCAGGTGATATCAGTGAGATTTTTCACTCACAAAGATGACTTCTTGGTTCACTTAAATGAATCAAATGAAAAAAGCAAGATAATTCATGCACAAGAATATATTATCAACATGTAATTATATTAACAACATGTATGATAATTATATTAACAACATGTAATCAGGTACAAGATGAGGATATCACAATTCCTGGTTGAAAGAAAGAGAAAGAACTAAAAAATAAACAGAGCTGTACAGAGCATTCACAAGACACTAGTAGAGGTCAGGGGAAGCTGTTGTGTGTGTCTTAGTGGTCTTTAAGATAAGTTTTGCCCTCACTTTTCCCATATCTTTCCACTGTATTCATAGATAGAACTGTTACCATTAAAAAAGAAAAAAGCCCTGTGCTGATATATTTGTTAACTGTAATTCCTCAAAGTGCTCAAAACTGTATTTTATTTCTATTCTATTGCTGCACAGTCTGAACTAGACAGTAAACTGCCCAACTTCAGTCAATAAGGAAGTTTATGGTTATTCTGGGTTACTTTCTGCAGTAACTAAGTTTTGTGGGAAATGTTGACTTTGTTCTACATCACAGCAATAGCACGGCACAGTTTACAGATACACACAGTGTTTGTGTCAAAACAGCTGACACAAACATACATACACATCTCTAAACCTCTACCATTAGGTGCTGATTACCAATCAACTTCCACCATACACCAGCGCACTTAAATTTTATCATGGGGACATAATTTCCAGGAAAATATGTGAATATCAGACTGTGGTGGAATGTCAGCTGGCCTGAATCCAATCCACAAAGTCAAATACCTTCTCATACTGAATGTGTTTGGATACTGAACTGAGATTACGTTGTGCTAGTGACTTCTTGACATGAATGAATGAGAGAAATTGAAGCAGATTTCCTAACATCTCCTCCTACCTTGTTTTCTGAATTTCTTCAGAATGAGCACATATCCACCCCTGCATCCACACCCCAGCTTTAAATGGGTTACTGATATCCAGCTCTGCACTTTGCAGCTTGAGTCTTTCTGCTGTTCTACCCAACTCTGAAATGTGCCCCTGCATGTTAGCTTGAATAAACATAAAGCCTCAAATTAGCACAGCATGCAGTCATTGCCCTCAAAAAACAGTAGTTTGGCCATGTTCAATGCATATTTGCCATCTGCTAATGCATTAAAACAAAAAAACAAAACAAAATAAGAATGTGGGCCAGGTCCTTAATTGGAGAAATCCATGTGTACCTTGAATAACTTTAAAGAGCTGTCATCACCTTTACCATCTGATGAACTAGCCTCTGTGACAGCAAAGCAGTGGATGCTTTGAAGCACTTGGACTATGCATGGCTTCTGCCCAACTAAAAGGATGCCAAGGGTAGGGAGAACATTTTCACAGAGACAACCTTCTGGTCGATGCTTGCTGCAGAGAACAGGGTAGATACCTAGAAACTACAAGCCTTCAGCACTCCTGAGTATTTGGATCTGGGCACAACTCACATACCTCTAATATCAGTACTCTTTATAAGCTCAAACCCTTTCCTTGCAAAGTCAGAAGTCTGGATGATGTGCCAAAAATAGGAGGCTGAATCCTAAGTCTCATAAAAATGAACTCTTTAAAAGCTCTGAGCAAAGAAGGAAAAGGACATAGGAGCAGCTCACACCAGAAGGGACACTTTGATTGGTTGTGGGATTTTTCCTTTATCAGACATGCAAGCAACAATAACAACAAAACAACAAAACACTAGAGTTGGCATTTTGACTGACTTCTGCTCAGGATATGTTACATTTAGCAGCCTCACTTGTGGTGCCATGTAGGCCGCTGGCACTTAAAAGAAATACTGTCAAAGGAAGAAATGTAGAATAACACTTGTGGAGGAAACTACATTAAGTAGAATTATATATGATATGATTATATCTCCTTTTAACAGCCTTTAAAGTTCTGTCTTTTTCCAAAAAGAAAGACATACAGCATTTATCTTTTCTTTGCAATGCTGTGAATTGCTAAATGCCTCTGGAGGAGGGCTATGAGAGAACAGCCCTGAACAGTCTCCAAAAGCTTTTCACAAACATTATTTCAAAAACATAATTCAGTAAGAGTGTTTATAAGACCTTGCAATAGAAATTCTGCATCTTTATTTCATGCTCACGTGTTTGTCTCATTTGGTAAACTATCACTCTGCACCTGGCTGGCTGGCATCACACATCTTTCAGTATGTTGATATCAGCACAGATAGGATACCTCAGGGGACTGGCAAGCAGACAGGTTTTGAAAGCCTTCTACCTTCAAGGCCCCTTACTCAAACCTCAGCTAGAACAGATGCCAGCAGTCAAAAGCAGCATCAGTACCACCTAATGGCTCTTTAGAGGACTGTGTAAGCAAAACAAGTATTTTCATTCCCTTTCATATATAAGAAATAAATAGTAGGGGTTGTAGTAATAGCATTGTCTCTTGAGACTTTCGGTGGCTCTGTGGCACCCATGAACCTGTAGCAGAAGTGGTATGGAGCATAGCACTGCTAGCCTGCACACCGGCACAGCCCCTGCAAAACTCAGGGTGGAGAAACTTTCATTGCTGCTGTTTTTCTGTTCTGTGGATACATAAAGGTCTTTGGCTTCCACAGCTGTCAAATGTCTACACTGCAGAAGGACTGCATCAGTAAAGGAACTGATAAAAACAAAATGTTCATCCCAGAGTAGTTGACTTACCACGGAAGTAAGCAAGGTAAGGACATGTGAACCTCTGAATCTTTGAACAACATACTGAGTTACTCAAAGAGGTCATAGCCTTTGTTTTCTCATATCTGCAGTGAGGTACAGACAGGGCAGTCTCTTGTCTGAGGGTGGAATAAACTCTTCTCACAGTCTAGTTGTGCAGTGAAAGATCTACAGCAATAGGCCTAATGTATTCAAGCCATGTGTTGAAAATTAAAACATTGATTTGTGATATCACCTACCATGAAGGGGGAACAGAAAGAGGGAACCAAAGGTATCCTCAGTTCTACAACCACCCATTAAAGAATAATTTCTAAAAAAGAATTGGTTAATTTAAGCTTTGAGTAGCAGTATCATGTGTTTCATAAATAATTCTTACTTGTGCTGAGTTCAATTTTTTTTTTTTTTTTTTTTTTTTTTTCAATAAAGGGTATTGTATCACTAGTTTTTATGGTCTTTTCATGGTGGAGCAGATCATTTGCTCAGTTACAGTGAGAAGTTACTTCATGAAGACAATCATAACTTATTTAGGAACTTGCAGAGCTACATGTTGGGATCTACAATTCAATATTTAGGCACCTCAATAGAAGCATAAGCTTGCAAACAGACCATCTGACACAAACCCATAGATAGAATAAAGTAAATGTATTTTACCCTCTTATAAATAGATGTTTATGCATCTAAAATGAATATAACTGCTCAGATCATGCAGACATAATTTTTTTTCCAATGAAGTCTAAGCTATACCTGAAAATCAGCATTGAAGTTTCATTTTATCAGACAGCTGAATCAGTATTTCTTCAAGGAAAAAAAGTCAAAGCAAAACTGTGACATTTATAGCAGATGGGGATATGATCTAGTTTTTCAGTCTGGTCAAACGACAGGGCTTACGTTTACTCTTATTTGCATGGGATTATTGCTCTTCCCTTTCCACTGAGGATCCTGGCAGAATTTTCAATGGACTACATGAGTTTGGGAGGTTGATATCTTACCTGTAGATTTTAGGTTTTTGAATTTTTTCTCATCTGATATATGAATGGTAGCAATGAATCAGACCCCTATAATTTTTGATGGTGTTTGTTTCGTTTCTGAAACCCTTGTATACACCATTCCTGCAGTCCACTCTTAGCTTTCATTTTCTTTAAATCTCTGACTTGTTAAGAGAAATATGTTATTACACTTTAAAAAAAAAAAAAAAAAAAGTAAAATTTCTAGCTTTTGGATATAAAGCAAGCCTTGAAAACATTACCTCTAACAAGGAGGAAAAGATAAAAGAACAGTCATCTTAGTTATTTTCAAGTGCAACTCATGATTTATTTAGACACAGAATTGGCAATAAGTTTAACTGCAGTAATTTACTACTCTGTTATCAACTTGTAACTTATTACAGTACAAGCAAACTTACCTCTCAGCTTTATAGAGCAAGGAAGGCTTCAGGACCCAATGTCTCTGTTCCTGAAGTCTCCACTGGCTCATCTGAGTACGATCTGGCCAAAGACACATTGACTTCTTGGTCACAAACAGCTAAATAAAACAGAAATGTATTGGCTAATTGGTGAATGATAATGACTGTAACATTTAGCATTTGCATTGTTCCTTTCTTCCTGAGTGCTTTACAAGAAGGAACTAATTAAAATATGCATGGTAATAATGGTTCAGAGGGATTCTAAATTGTATTCTTACTGTAATAAATGGCTGTGGTGGGGTGGGAAATTGCTACATTTCCCACTAGGAGGAAGCAGCTTTTGATTATTCCTCTGTATCCTCACACATCTGAGTCCCGCACTGGAAACAGCATGCATCTAGATGCATGAACATCAGCTGGTTTTGTTTTTTTTTTTTGGAAGAGGTTTACACCTTGACCATATTGCCTTTGCTTCAGTTATAACGGCTCAAAGGGGCTGCAGGGCTACAGAACCTTTTGCCTTTGTCTATTCATGACCAGACACAGAGCGCTGGCAAAGCACTTATTAACTGCCACAGGTTTAAAGAAAGATGACTAAGCCCTAAAGCATTTTTAGATGAATATTGCAGAACAAGAAAAAAAAAATCCCCTCTTTGCTGCTCTGCTGTAGCACCATCATTTTGTGTTTTGTTCTTGAAGTACGTGATGCCACAAGAAATTAATTACTTTAGCAAAAAGAAATAGGATTGTAGAGGAAAAACAGATTTGTAATATTATCCTGATTATAGCTACAGGTAAGAGATAATCTCCTGCTTTCTCTTGTAGGGGAAAAGATACTTTGTCTCAAAAAAATTACTCAAAGAAAATCCATTTTTTATGAGACCTCTAGCGGTAAAGAAAAGGCAAAAGCATAATCTCTGGACTTTTCCATTTACTTATTTGTAGACAAACTTGTAGGGATAATTCATTTCAGCATCTCACTGCTTATCAACTTCAGCCAATACCTCTTTTCCAGGAATCAAGTCCAATGCATGATGGTGGCAAAAGCTCCTTAACAGGCAAATTAATTGTGTAGGCTGTACTTGTGCCCTCTGAACTGAGGTCTCCCTGCACTCCATGAGGTACTGCCACAGAGCTGCTCCCAGGGCTGCCAGGACACAGTTGCTGCTCTCTGTATAACAGCACTGCCCACCAGGCAAAGACTGGGTCATTCAGGATGACAGAGGAAGCTATTGATGAACAAAGTTTTAGACATTAAATGAACTTTGGAAATGAGCAGCACATTCTGTTGATTTGGCCAGACTCCCATACAACTAAAGTTCATGGCATTTCTGAGCTTGTCCAGCACACATCATTGAAGGTAATTTTGGCTGAAGTGATCTTAGGCTGCATTTCCTTGTAAGGAGTGGGGTACAGACCAGCTTCGCTCTCCACCTTCAGGCACAGAAGTTTGTGAAAAAAATATGTAGCTGTTAAACAGCAGTGGTGGGAATCCTACTTTCTGGCAATGTTCAGGGTTACAGAGCAACACCCATCCCAACTTTAGCTTCCTGACATTAAAAAAGTATAGTGAAATAGCAGCCCTGTGACAGCCATTGATTATTTGTTCTAATGCAAGAGAAGAGGACACTGCTGAACCTCTTCCATGTTTATAATACAAAGTGATGGCAGATGTTGCCACTTCCATGGCTGCTCTGTTCTCCCTGCTGGTCATCACATACATGGCATTTGGTGGCAGTTTTCCCAGGCTAAACTGTGAGCATCTATTCCCCTCTGAGCTTAACTGTAATTCAACCATCATCAAATTTATTCTGCAGATTACAAGACAGCCAAAACCCCAATTGGTGCCTATTTAAAGGGAGAGGGGATTATTCTTTCCAAAGAAATCACAAAAAATGAATTGCTCATTTTGTTTTTTTCTGGTATCTGCTCTATGGATAGTAAACCTTGTAAGTTCACAGAATTCTGGAAGCCATTTTTAGAGGTATTGCAATACAATTTTACAACAGATAGTCATGCTTAAAACCTTGTTTTTGTTTTGGCAAAACCTTCCTGAAACCATATATCTGACCTAAGCTTTCATGTTTAGTAAAGCACTAAAAATATAGAAGATACAAGATTATTGGCATAGTTAGCATAGCCCTTAATCTATTTAACTAGGAGAAATATTTTCTGAAATGCTGTCTTAAGGAAACAATAGCAAACAGAAGGTGTTTACACTCAGAAGACACGAGCAAAGTATTTATCAGAAAAAAAAAGTCAAATAAAAAAACCAACAATACAAGGTTGGAAACAAGCAAACAAACAAAAATCCCTAGCTATCAAAATAAGCTGTGGAAAATGGGAATGATTAAAAAAAACTGATCAAAAAAACATCTGCATGCTAATCCTGGTGTTTTCAAGTGGAACAACAGTGCAAGAAGAAAAAAATAAACACATTTAAGAAGAAATATGAGAAGCAAACAAAAAAATAATTATGAATGGGGAAAAAAAACATGACCAAGTTAGAGAAAATATACAAAAAGAAGCGGATTGAATCTGTATATTCCTTCACAATGAAGCTTTTGCTGGTGTGACTGCATATTCAGCAGTGTGAATATAATAATTAAAGAATGTCAGCTCAAGCAAAATTTTTTAAAACCTTCCTGTTAATAAACAGATAAATTGCCTAAAAATACTGATTATATTAGGAAAAACGGAAGTGCTGGATTTTTGTGCTTCAATTCCTTTCATCTGACACAACCCGTTTAAAGAGCAGATGTCTCTCCCAGGCAGTGTTTGATAACGGTGCTGCTGATTTCCCTTTTGAGGTGATGAGAACATCCTTACAAGGTGGGCTGACACCACTCAGCAGACCCCAGCACTTGCTGGTACCTGTGTAGCACTGCGTCCCACCAGAGCTGTACCAGCCCCATTCCACCTGCAGGCTGGTGAATGCTGCCTGTCAGCAGGATAAATTAGGCAAGCTGCTGGTGCAGCATAGTGTCAGGGCCGCAGCAGGGAGGGCTGGAGGCTCTCTGCATCACAGCTTGTTGCTCAGCCCTGCAGCCATGCCCAGATGGGTGCTGCAGACTGAGCTTGGTTCCATGCAAGGCAGGCAGCAAGCACTGAGTAGTGCTTTTCACCAGGCTCAGACCACAGCTGGAGGAGTGCTTGAGAGCTGCCTCTTGCACAATCAGATGCAAGTTCTAGCCAAGGCAAGTCTCCTCTGGAGTTTGGAAGAACGTTCACACTGAATTACAACTAAACTTCCTGCTTATTTTGTTTTTTAATAATAGCAAGAGGAAGATTCAGGGTATGACAAAGAATAGTTATGAGTGCAAAAAGAGAAGAAAAGCTAAATTAAAAATTGCTCCGATGAACTCCAGTTAGCAGAGATGAGCTCTGTCTCATAAATACTTACACATGGGTGTATTTTTAAGGACACAAGGAACCTCAAGCACTTACACATGTAGCCACTCTTAGAACGTTGCTCATCATTGAGAAAGGTTTAAGGAAGATGGCATCATTACAGGATTATGAGGAAGATCGTTACAATGTACTTTGAAAACAACACCTTTTTAGGTCTCTTTAAGATACTGTTCCAAAACAAATAACTCAAAGCTGGCTGGCCTGTGAAAAGTGGCAGTTGAAAAATAACCACTGGTGTATAGATTCATCCTGGGCTCCCAGGAAAACATTTGTCATTTGGAAAGCCACTCTGAGCATGTTTTTTCAGCACCCAAAAGCATCAGAACATCTTAAAATTTTTGTCAGGCTCTGCCTGTGAGACTGCAGTGTACTTGTCCTCCCCATTACAGCCACGCTCTGCTTGGCGAGCCTGACAGTTTACCTGCAGTGTCATTACAGAGTGGGAGAAAATTGTGGTCATAAATCATCCATGTGAAAAATAAATGCAACCTTTGGGATTGCAGGATTTCATCCAAAAATTTCACCTTGTTAGGAAGTACGCTGTAATCTTGTACCAGACTTCTGTCTTTCTTGGTTGCTGGAGCATTGTTCCTATTGTTGGGCTTCCAGCAGGTCTCCATGGCAGTCGAGTGTGCTAACCCATCCCTGCAGTGCAAACCACAGCACAAGCATTGCTTTGAGAGTGACTGCAAATACCACCTCATCCGTCTCAGAGAAATGCAACAGCCCTTCTCCATCCGTTGAGCGGGATGCAAACTTCAACTCCTTAGATGCCAAAGAGATTAGACGTTATAAAATGTAATTTAAAAAAATCTAGACTAATGAAACAAAACTGCAGCCCTGTGAGACGTCTGATTAGTTGCTTTTGAATCAAAGACAAAACTCACTACAGTTCTCTCCATGTCAATGTTTAGTTCAGTTCTGTATATGAATTTCCTTGAAAATGACTGCTCTTCGCAGTTTGCAGATGGGCAAAAGGGAATTTGCCCCACTGGGCTGTGTAAAGAGAGGACATGAGGTGGTACAATCCACATTCAGGCCACCAAAGCCCTCATGATTAACAAACAGCATTTGAAGAGAGCAACATTTAATAATGCCGATCCTCAGCATGATTTTCCCTTCTTATCCCTTCATCCAGTTGTTGCCTCTCTGTGCTGCAGCAGCTTTATGTTTTGCCATCAGAAAATTATTAAATTATTTACATCCGCATGCCAGGGTCAGTTGTCTCTTCATCCCACAGTCAGGTCATAACCGCATTATTTTGTTTTAGGCCACTTAATAGGAAACAGTTAATTGGACTTGCTGCCTTACCGCAGCGAAAATAACTACCTCAAACTGCATTAAGCCCACATCAATATTTCACTTCTTGCTAATTTCTGTAACAGCTCAGCTGGAAGCACAAAGTGCTTGAGAATTAAAAAAAAAAAAAAAAAAAAAAAAAAAAAAAAAAAAAAAAAAAA